GAAGAACATCCAGACAGCTCAGAGTAGGCAAAAGAGCTATGCTGATACCCGAAGGAGGGACCTGGCCTTTGAGAAAGGTGACCGGGTGTTTCTTAAAGTCACCCCCTTCAAGGGAATTAGTAGGTTCGGCAGAAGGGGAAAATTAAACCCCAGATACATTGGACCCTTTGAAATCTTAGACAAGATTGGTACCACTGCCTACAGACTTGCACTGCCCCCTGAGCTCTCCCGGGTTCACAATGTGTTTCATGTATCTATGCTGCGCAAGTACAATCCGGACCCTTCTCATGTCGTGGCTCATGAACCGCTCTCACTCCGAGAGGACTTGTCTTATGAAGAAGTACCGGTCAGTATCACGGACCGAGAAAGCAGAATACTCCGTAACCCGGAAATATCATTTGTAAAAGTTTTGTGGCAGAACCACACGCCTAGGGAGGGGACTTGGGAGCTGGAATCAGAATTTAGGGCCCAATATCCTCATTTGTTTGATCAAGAGTAATGAGGCAAATTTGGGGGCCAAATTTTTTTATGGGGGGGAGAGTTGTAGCGCCCGGAAAGGAGGGGGAAAAAAAAAAAAAAAAAAAAAAAAAAAAAAAGGGGGGGCCACGTCAGCAGTCACGTCAGCAGGCCCGGTCAGCAGTCCCGGCCAACCGGGGCCTGCCACGTGGCAAGATCGCGTCACTCCAAAAGGAGCCACGTTGGCGATCCGCGTGGGTGCGATCCGACGGCCCAGATCAATCGCGCGATCGGACGGCCCAGATTCAAACGCACGGACGGCCCAGATTCAATCAAAAACGAACGGCCCAGATTAAAATGAAATGAACGGCTGTGATCAAAAGGCAAGGGGTTATAAATAGAACCCCCACACCAGACCACAAACCCTAGCCGCCAGCCGCTCGCCGGAGAAGACGAACCAGAGGCCGACCGCCGCCACCCGCCGCCACTCGCCGCCGCACCGGGGAAATTTCCGACCGCCGATCGAGGTAAATTTCATACCCCCGACTCGTTTTTCCCCACTGATTCCTCCTATGGCCAAATCGAAGCCGAAATCCCGGCCAAACGGCCGGAATACGCGGCCGAAGCCCAGCGGCACCGCCGCGCCCCCTCTCGATTTTTGCCTCCGACGAGGCCCTTCCCGGCCTCCGTTCGATGCAATTTTTATATCACCGTGATCACCATTCTTTTCTCTACAGGTTGACCGAAGCCAAATCACCAAAACACGAACTTCGCCGGAGGGTCGCCGTACCCGAGAGCGCCGCCGCCGGTAAGCTCCGTTTTTCCGTGATTTTTTGGCCCCCCGAGGGCCCTAGGGTTGTTTTCTGACAAGGACCAATGCGAGTGTGGCCGAATTCGGCCAAAAACGGCCGAAAACAGTCAACCCGAGGCGACTCGCCGCCGCCAGCGGCGGCGCCGTCGCCGGAGCACGGCGGAGCCGCCGTGCCGGAGTTGCGATTTGGGCCGAAAGAGGCCCTGGGCCTAATTTGGATTTTTTTTGGAACCCGTGCAGGTACTGTGAGCGTGTTTCAGTTCCCCGGGAAAAATTCAGGGGAAAATTAGGGACAGCCTGCAGGCGCACTGTGAATCGTATTCGGATCCCAAAAACAGGTAAGGACCCCTCACTCTATTTCCTATCACGGTATTAAAGTTCAAAATGATAAAACGGTATTTCTTGAATTAACGCATGTGTGAAATTGCTTAAGGTTGCTAATGGAGCCCGAGTCTAGTGTGATTAATGATTTACTGTTGTTTGGCATGTTTTACACTGTTTTACAACTTTAAATGCATTATGGGGTTTGATGTGTTCATTTTATAATTTCGAATGCATATATTACTGTTTTATTAATTATGGGTTGAATGACTGAAGAACTGATACTGTATGTTGTCTGTTTGGCATGAACTACTGTTTGCTTGTTTGTATGTGAATTGATGATGCTTATTGAGGAAAAGGAAAATGAAAGATTGTGTAGACTGATAATTGTATGATGGGGTCAGCCTGACTAGATATCCTGGGAGATGGTGGACGAACCGGGTCCGTAGGGAACCCTACCGGGATTGTGGTCTCACATGCCGGACGGGGCATGGAGATCTTATGGTTTTGGCGCCCATACCGGACGGGGTATGGGGACGGCCCGTTTCACCCTCATACCGGACGGGGTATTGAGGTTTATGGTTTTGGCGCCCATACCGGACGGGGTATGGGGACGGCCCTGAAAACTGATTATGAATGTTAAAGGTTAACGGGTAGCGGGACCCCTAGGGACCCCCATGGATACTAGTAGGCTGGTAAATGAGAAAAGAATATGTTGTATAATGATTGAATTACAAAAGGCGTGATAAGTGCTATGTTTTACAGCTTATATTATTCCATGATTGTGATAATGTTATTATTTTTCTTATATTGTTTTCATAAATTCCACCGAGGTAAGTGGATGGTAAAGGTTTTCATGTTAATAAACGAGTTTATTGTAAATTATGCTCCATTGGTCTTTTTGTGGTTTTTTACCCACCTTTATCTCCGTGACGGTGAGATATCGTGATGTTCTTACTGGGCTAGTGTAGCTCACTCCTTAATTAACCATTTCAGATCAGGAAGACATGGTTCCCGAGCCCGTTCCGCAGGAGGACGACGAAGGGGATGCCTAGAGACTCTGTAATCATACGCATAGTTTTATTTTCGAGTTTCTTTCTTAGTTAGTTTAATCTTTTATATTTTAAGTACGTTTTTGGTTTTTCGTGTAAGGGATGTTAAATGAAATTTTGATCTCGCTTCCGCATTCGATATATTTAAATACTCATTTCATTTTAATATTTTCCGGGGCCGTTACATAAGTAGTCGCGGAGAGTCTTATTTATTTGTATAAGTTGACGAAATTTTGCTTAAGTGGTTTTTGATCTAATAGTTAATTTATTATATCTTTGAAAGTGTTTGATATTTCAAAGAGAGAAAGAGAGAGAGAGAGGTTATACATTTTTTTTTTCCATAATATTGTCAATCCAACTTGACTCAAATATTCATTTATATGTGAAAGAGTACATGTACATTATTAGAGTAGAGTTAGATTAGTTAGATGAATGAAATCATTTCTCTAGGTAGTACAATAGCTTCTTTTGAATGATATGTTTGTTTCATTATTAATTTGATATTTTACTTGTCAAGACTAAAAGTAAGGGTGTGAGATCCACAATATGGGAGAAGCAGTTTGGTGGGTATTTTAAAATTTTGACGATGGTCTTTTGCCAAGAAGACTAAGATTGGGTGGTGTAGGCAGATTATTGAGGGATTATACCTATATTATAAGATGCATCTTCTTAAATAATATAGGAGTGATAAATTTTTATATATAACAGAATTATTAGTCATTAAAAAAAAAAAACTTAGAGATCGTAATAAATAATTTTATTGAATACTGGACTCAAAAGTAGTGGTGAAGGTTATTCTCATATGGCTATTTCCTCATGATTGTGATGTTATATTATGGTCGTAATAATTTAATAAAAATAAATAAAGAAAAAAAATGTTGCTAAAACTTAAAGTTGAAACAAAATCTGAGATCTTATCACTATTTCAGGGAGTCTTGTTGATCTCCTTCAAAGTTTGAAACTCAAGTGGTTTGACAAGAGAATCTCACAAACATATCGTTCAAAAAACAACTTTGTAGGTTGAATAGTGATGAATGCATAAAATAAGAAGGAGAAAGTGAGAGTGAAAAGAGATCAGTTCATTAAAATGCATATAGCGTGTCCTGGGGTTCACGTTTATCAGTAAATGCCTGGCCTGGTTGAATTGGATTGACCCTCTTAATTATTTCACATTTATAGCCATACATGCGTATATATTCGCATAATATCTATATTAACATGATACTACCAAGTGATTGTACTCGTGAAGTTCTGTCTGACATTTAATGGCTCTTCCGTTGTCATTATTAATTATAGACATACACGCATATATCTGCACAGAATTCTTCCTCCACATTTAATGTATTCATTCATATATTATTTTGTACCATATTTCCTTTCTTGTTTTGTTGAGACTTCTATGATTTTTATTAACATTATATATCTTTCATTCAATTTTTATTAAAAGAGAAATGCAATATTCGCCTTGAGAAATTATTAGATTTTTAACACCGGCTATTCGTCCATATATTAATATGAACAGTAAAATCTTTTTTTTAGTTGTTTGTGAAATATATTTATATAAAAACTATGATAACCAAAAGAAAATCAAGATAAAGTCTAGTTACTGAAAATTATATAATTATATATATAATATCATCTACAATGGATATGAGATAATTGAGATTTTAGATAATCATGTGCTTTTTATTTAAAATTATATTTTGTTTGATTTTAATTAATTTAATTTCACTTATTTTTAAGTGATAATATATAATATATTTTGTTTAAATGTGACTACTGTTTCTTGGCTTGACATTTCTTCATCTATCTCTGCATGTTGGCAAATTCAAATGCATTACTTTATGCTCTTCATTTTCAGAAATAAAATTTAAAAAAAAAAATATTGTATTAGTTTATCCGAATCAGAGTGATCCTTCCCAGGCATCCCCCATCTAAATCTATAGAGTTTTCAACGTAACTTTTAAAAATCTTTAGGAGTCAGATACACACATATATACACACGTATGTATATATATATATATATGTCCAGTACATAAACTATACGTATATATTTAAAATGGTCCATGGGATTTAATGAGTTAAAACTTATTTTGGATCAGGAAGTTTTCAGAATGTGTACTGATGGTCTTGCGGGTTGCCAATTTTGTTTTGTATATATACAAAACAATATTGCAGAGGTTTTTATTATGGAAAGACTGCTCAGAAGCACTTGAAAAGAGAGGCATGGATCATGTGAATTGCATCTGCAGGTGTACCTTCCTTCTACATTTATAATCCATTTCCCTTCTCTCTCTCTCTCTCTCTCTCTCTGTATATATATATATATATATTCCTCCTCAAGTTCTTTCAAACAAACTCTACATAATTATTTACATATACACATATATCTACTCTAGAAACTCTTTAAAAGATGAATAAGTACTACGGCTTCTCCATCATGGTGATTCTCTTTGCGCTTGTTCATGATATTCTGCCCGCCTCTGCATCTCCAAATCATTGTAATCCTTTTTCTCTTCACCTAATTTCATCTATATATATATATATGTATATGTATATATCCAGACATATATGTATAATTCATGGTAATAATTGTTAAATCTAATTAACATTTCAGTTCGAGTCCAAGAACAGGGTGCTGGGTATCAACCTCGTAAGCATAATCAGGTTTGTATGAAAACTACATATACATAATTAAATTGATAGTTTAGTTATTTTAAATATATGTGTATGAATTGTATAAATATGTATGTACAGGTGGAGGTGCTGGGCATGGACTTATATCCAACAGGATCAAGCTTGCCGGACTGCTCACACGCGTGCGGACCATGCTTCCCATGCAAGAGGGTGATGGTGAGCTTCAAGTGCTCCACCGAGTCCTGCCCCATTGTTTATAGGTGCATGTGTAAAGGCAAATACTACCATGTCCCTTCCAATTGATACTGACCGTCCATTAATCACGTGTTGAGATATCTACACCCTCCATCAAGATTGATTAGTTAGTGGCTACTTTTAATTATTTATGGTTGTGTAGGAAGTTTATTAGATATTTTTATTTCATTGTTCGGGTGTTTTATGGATGATTTTTGTGAATAGGGGATTAGTGAGTTCAATTAGGAGGATTTTGCTCTCTTGATCCTGTATTAACATTTTTATTTGTTTAAGAGGATAATTACCAGTTAGTTTTCTTTTTTTTTTTTTTGGAGATATATATTTAATGTTAATTATCATAGATAATAATTTTAAAGTAAAATTTAAAATATATTAAATTAAATTAACAATTCTAAATATAAGACCTAATATTAGATTATTAAAAATACATATATATTTTTTTATTCAACATTTAGTTTGGGCTGTGAAGGTTGCGAGTTTGGTGAGCCCTTGAAAAGGGAATACCGAATATGCATGATAGGGACCATTTCGCTAAAAGATCGTGACAAGTCAGCTGGAACACGTGGCAGTATATGATTAGGTCTTTAGTCCACGTTCGCACTCACTTTTTTAACTTAGTTTCTTCAATATATATATATGTTTTTTTAAATAAATAAATAAATTTTAAAGAAGACACGCTTTCTTCCGCTTGAAGTTGCTTACCTATGTTAAATTCATATGGTGGGCTGAGATTGAGAGGTACATAAAGCCTGTTTCCATTATTTTATTTATATATATTTGATATTTATACAAATTAATTTTCAAGTGATATTATATAAGATTGAAAAGTATATGTTAAATTTATCGTATTTGACGAAGTTCTAAAGATGAGAGTTCCCAAGAATCTTGATGTACCTTTGGCACCATTTTACTTTATTATAGTTTAATCAAATTTTATAAAATATTATGGACTTACCCATTTTATTTCAGAAAATAAAATATTTTTTTATGAATTATTATTTAAATAAATGTAATTTTACAATAATTTTAATAAGTCAGTATACTTGGTAAACAAAGAGGAATTAATAGTAAGAAATTTATGCGAAAAATTAAATAAAATTGGTTTCTTACATGTTGCAATTTTAGATTTAAAGATTTCAGTTAATTTAATGAACTAATTATTTAATGTATAGAATATAAATAATTAAGATATTGTGCATTGATTTTAACGGTGATATAAATAACCTCCGTCTTGGGTTCCAAAAGACTATGATTATCCCAAGAATATTCTTTGGATCAGAAACCCAAACTTTATTAGGTCATAATTCATAATAATATTGAATTTATGTTAAAATATTATATTAGTCTTTATATCATTTTAAAATATTTAAATTAGTTCCCATATTTTGTTTTTGCAATTTTAGTTTTTGTACTTTTAAAAAATAATTTATTTAGTTTCTAACCATTAATGCACATTAATACTATTGGTGAAAATGTCATATGGATTTAAATTTAAGATATTTTGTATTTTGATTGGATTATAAAGTTTAATTTTTAATTATTTTTTATAAAATATTAAAATATATATATCTTAGCTCAATTTGGTTAATCTCTTCATTTTGACATTTAGAGTAGTGTTTAATAACTTGGGAGACTATGATACTATTAGCAGTATTAGCAACAAATATATAATCAGTGACAGAAATACAATCGAAGATGAAACGATGGATGATCGATTGGGCATAAAAGTTACATAGTACAATAGAATAGGTGTAACACCCTAAAATGAAATTGTAATATAATTTAAAATTAATAAATATAATTTTTTAATTTTTTTAATTTAATTTAGCGTAAAAATGAAGTAAAAATTGAAGAATGATAAAATTGAAAACAATTTTGGGAAAAATGGGTGAAAATTTGGATTCTGTAGGTATTTTTAAAAGAAAATTCGAAAACTAAGGGTCAAAATGCAATTTTAAAAAGTTTTGCCACGTCATATGCCCGGTCAGCAGGCTCGATGAATCAGGACGCACCGCATGACAGCGGACGCTGACGCAGTGCCACGCAGGCGATTCTTGTGCCCGCGATCGAATGGCCCAAATCCGTTCTACGCGCACGGACGACCCAGATGTGTTCCCTCCCCAAACACGATCGGACAGTCAAATTTGAATGCGATCAGACTGTTCAGATTAGATCGCGATAGACGGCACAGATTCGATGAATGCGATCGGACGATTCAGATTAGATCGCGATAGACGGCTCAGATTGGATCGTGATGAACGGCTCCAGATTCTCTCCCTATTTAATTGCGATCGGACAGTCCAGATCAAACGCGATAGATGGCTCAGATCAAAAGCAGATGGATATAAATAACCCCCATCCACACCAAACCCTAACCCTAGCCACTAGACCCCCTCGCCAGAGAAGAAGACCCAGCCCCCAGAAAAGAGACCGCCACCACCCACCGCCGTACCGGAGCCCTTTTCGACTGCCAAAAAATGTTAAAATTTTTTCTTTTACTCGAAATTCAATTCTTAACACACCCATGGCCAAATTGGAGCAAAAGGACCGGCCGATTGGCCGAAAAACGTGGGCAAAGCTCAGCGGCACCGCTGCGGAAAATTTCACAAAACACTTCCGATGAGGGCCTTCCCGATTCCCGTGCTGCGTGATTTTTCTATCTCACCATTTCCTTCTCTACATGTTGACCGGAGCAAAACACCCAACCACAATGTGAGTCGGAGGAGCCGCCGCACCGGAGAAGCCCACCGCCGGTGAGTTTCAGTTTTTTATATTTTTTAGGCCAACCGAGGCCCTTTAACATGTTTTCTTGCATGGATCGATGCAGAATCGGTCGAACTCGGCTGAAAACAGCCGACTCGAGGTGGACCACCGTCGTGCCGGAATTTTAAAATTGGCCAAGTGGGTCTTGTGACTAATTTTGGGTTTGTTTTGGATATTTGTAAGTACTATTAGTACGTTTTAATTTTTGAAAAAAAAATTCAGGGAACCCGAGAATCGCTCGTAGACACAGTCGAACAGCTTAACTTTTTTGACATCAAATCGATTAAGAATCCCTCACCTTATTCCCTATCATAAAATTGAAGTTTAAATAAATAATAGTCCAGTATTTTATGCGAATGTAGAAAATGTGCATAATTAATTACGGATTATTAATCGAGCCAAAACCAGAAATTATCTACTGTTGTTTGTTGATTGTTTTTACAGTTTATATGCATGATTGTATCTTATTAATTTGTTTTATGACTTTGAATACATGTATGGCTTATTCTATGTGTTTACGGCTGAATTGGAAAAAATAAAAGTTTAACGGTAAAAATTGTGTGATTAAGTGAATGGATAAAACATCAGCCTTACTAGATATCCTAGGAGATGCTAGACGGACAAGGTACATAGGGAACCCTGCCGTAAACGGTGTCTCATGCCGGACGGGATATTGAGACTTAGTAATTTAGGGCTCATACCGGACGGGGTATGGGGACAGCCCGCTTCACCCTCATACCGGACGAGGTATTGAAGTTTTGTAATTTGGTGCTCATACCGGACGAGGTATGGGAACGGTCCGTAGTGGAGAATGTTAAAGGAAAGGATTCATGTATAGTAAGGACATCCCTATGAACCCCCATGGATACTAGCAAACTGGTAAAAAGAGTGACAGTTATTGTTTGATTTATTGATGATGGATATAGAATTATAATATGTGCTATGTTATTGATTATACATGAGATCATTCCTTATTTAACCATTTCAGATCAAGAGAACCAAGTTCCAGAGCTCGAACCGTAAGAGGATTGTGAGTAGATGCTAGTTTTCTTTATTTTCTGTTTATTTCCTTATTTCTTGTATTTTTTTTAAAAGACTGAATTCCGTAACTCTGTTTGGTTCTTTAAGTTATTGTGTATGGAATGTAAATCTTGAATATTTATTATGCTTCTGCACTTAATTTATAATTTATTTCTTTTGGATATTTTTGGAGTTGTTACAGTTGGTATCAGAGGCACGTTTCTCGAACTCATTCCTTACACAAAATTCTTAAGGAACACGAAAATAATGGATTATCACTCAACCATTCCTTGTGAAATACAAGTACAGATAGATGATAATAGGAAGACTCCTACTAAACAGAGCAACCCGGGAGGGTTCGCTTAGAGAAGATGTTGACCGGATATTTGAGATGCTGGAGAGACTCATTGCTGCCCAGCAGGGACGGGGAGGAAAGGAATGAGCTACCTGACCCTCCCCTGCTGCCACAGGTTAACCCACCCCTGCAACGAGAGGATCTTGAGCCACTCCGGTATGACCCTGCTCCTCCACAGTACCACCCGACACCACCACAGTATGATCCGGTGCCCCCACCGTATCAACAAGTACCATTGCAGGGCCATCCAGTGCATCCTCACCACGGCCCAGTTCCTCTTCCACTGGATCCAGCTCCTCCCATGATGGACCTAAGTTACATAGAGAGGTATAAAAGATTAAACCTATATACTTTTGCAGGGGGATCCTCTTTTGAAGATGTCAAGTACTGGTTAGAAGAGACAGAGAAGGCCTTCAAGACCTTTGAAGTGATTCCCGAACAGAAAGTCATCCTTACTACCTACATGCTAGTGGGAGAAGCAGACCGCTGGTGGGAACTCAAACAGACCACCCTACCTATTCCAGTTACTTGGGAACAGTTTCTGACGGTCTTTCATTCAAAGTACCTTTCATAGCATCTCCGACATCTGAAGGAGATGGAGTTTGTACAGTTGATCTAGGAAAACATGATTGTATCAGAATATGTTCGCAAGTTCCTAGAGTTGGGCTGATATTCTCCTGATACATTGTTGGATGAAGGTAGGAAGGCTAGAAGGTTCAAGTGGAGTCTATGTCCAGAGATCATACAACAGTTGTTTGTGCTTGAGCTCAGTACTTATTCGGCTGTTCTGGCCAAAGCACAGTTAGTGGAGAGGAGCCTTCGTACCTTCTCTCAAGCAGCAGGGAACCTTAGGCCCTCAATTCCACCCTATAAACTAGCATCGACTGCACCTGTTCAACAAAACAAGAGACCTAGATTGATGATTCAGGATCCCCCTCAGGCTCCAGTGGTAGGATGTGGTAATATCTGTCAGCATTGTGGTAAGGATCATGGGGACCGATCCTGCTATCGCCTCAACAACACCTGTCGCATATGTGGTAGTGCCCAACATTATGCGATGGAG